GTCCCTGCCTGGCTGGACAGGCAGCCCTATGGACAAAGAGGACAGGAGCGGGTGGTCAAGGGGCTCTGGAAAGATGCCCAAGCCTGAGGAAGGGTCAGGGTAATCCATCCACAGCCAGGGCCCCCAAGGCTCGACAGCGGATGATCTGGAGAACATGGGCTGGCTTCACAAGCGCCTAGTGCTGCAGGCCCTGCACTTGGTTCAAGGCCTCTGCTGCAGTTACGACGTCACAGTTCCCAATACCTGCGGACACACACTCTTGTTTTGCTCTGGGACCTTCCTAGTCTGCAGCCGGACCGCCCAGAAGATGGCAAGTGCTCTAGGCTCTGGCAGGGCTGGGGACACTGCCCAGGACATTTTGGAGAGAGGGAGGAAGGGAAGTTCGGAGGCCTTACTCAGGTGGAAACCGCCACAATACAGAACAATCTGCTTCTACCTGGATGATCCCAGGAAAACAGGTGAAAGAGACAGACAGCCATGCTGGGCTCGGCAAATCTTAACAGTGGTCACTGTGACAAATGCCATCTGCGGGTGTATGAGCTGGTTCTAACCTGTGAGCCGTATACCTTGAGCGAGAATAAGAGACCATCACCGAAGCAATGGTGGCACTGCTTACAGCAAAGTCTCTAGGGGACTAGACATTGCATCACAAAACAACCCGTAGATCTTGCTAATGTGTGTTCCTAGACCCTGTGGTCTCTGCCAACCCTGATACCAGATGGCGCCGCCTCAAAGACACAGACAAGTGGGTGACACACGGTCCATGTTCAGGGTAGCTCTCGAAAAGGAGCTGTGCTCTGGCAGTCTTTCCCACATATACCAGACTCGCCAGAAGGGTTGGGAGCCCAGAAAAGGCTTAGGGGTCTTCACTCGCTTTCAGCCGACAGGAACAGGCAACAGTCATCACCAGCGAAGGACATAGGAGGTACCTGCTCAGGCCTCTAAGCCACCTCGAACTTCTAAGCCCAACTCCAAGAAGGAGCAGAGTCAATCAGAATATCTCATGCTTGAAAAGGTTCGTTAGGTGAAGCCTGAGTTACTAGCTAATCTCCTATGACAAATAAGGCCAAGTCTGCCTACCCCAGGGCCTGGTGGCACACCAAACCACAATGCACAGCCTGCAGAAGTTCCACGGGAAACCATACAGGAGAAACGACCCAACAAAAACTGACAGAAAAGTCGTGGAGATCAGGAGAAGAGAGAGTGATGACAATGACCTCCACTACTAGACAGGTCAACCACAGTCTCATTTGGGTTCTGATTTACGTGAACTAGAAACAAAAGCAAGCTGGTAATTAGGGAAATGGGGATATCAGCTAGATATCTCATGGTACAGGACAGCTTCACATAGTATGTAAAGCATGCATTTAATCCCAGCACTAGGGAGGCAGAGGCAGGTGGATCTCTGTGAGTTCAAGGCCAGCCTGGTCTACAGAGTGAGTTCCAGGACAGTCAGAGATACACAGTTGAGACCCTTGTCTCAGGAAAAAAAAAGCTGACTTTTTGAAATCTCAGGTGTGACGGTCACATTTGGCTCAGCTTTTCAAGAGGTGTACACAGACTGCTCGAGGACAGGCTGTGATGCCCAGTCCTGGTGGGCCATGGGGACACGCATGATGCCATCCTAGCCTGAGGTCCTGTGATAGGTGCAGGAGGTGCTGTCTACCAACAGTAAAGAAGTGGCTTATAGTTTTGAGTTCTGTTTTCTAGGACTGAAACCAAGGTTTGAGGGTTGATCCACAGTCACTTCCCACTTCCAAAGCACTCCTGGGTTTTGGAGACAGTCAGCAAGGCTGCTGGGCCTACTGGGCTGCACCTCTCCAGGCCACAGAGTCCTCCTGCTGCCACTCCCGCTGTCCCTGCCACATCCCCTGCTCTGGGACACCCTTTCTGGACATCCTCTTCTCCACAATGGGGCTTTCTGCTTCATCCCTGCTGAAGCTGACAGACACAGGGTGACATTCCTTCACAGCAGCTAGGTGACTTTGTGGCAGCCCTTCAGACCCAAGTTCTAGAAGTCACCCAAACACATCCTCTATTCCTTCTCACTATGTCATCTCTTGGATCTTCTGGGGCACAAAGGCCTGTAAGGGCCTGGGCGACAGCGGCACCTAGAAGCAAAGCCATACCCTCATGCCTCCTGCCATCTCAAGCTCGGTCATAAAAACTGGCACCATCAGCTCAGCCCCACCCAGCTCTTCAACCCAGCTTTTCTTTTTAAAGATTTGTTTATTTTTATGTGTATGAGTGTCTGGCCTACATGCCTGTGCCTGCAGAGGTCAGGAGAGGTCAGATTTTCTGGAACTGGAGTTACAGATGGTTGTGATGTGTTAAGGGCGCTGGGAACAGAACCCAGGTCCTCTGGAAGAACAACAGTAGTCTTAGGCACTGGACCATCTATCCAGCCCCCAACCCTAGGCCTCCGTTCTTACACTGTGGCTCACTGGGTGCACTTGGGGGGAGGGGACTGGGGAAGGTAGCCTCTCAGCATAAACACCAGCCACACGGGAATGGCTTAGGAAAGAACAAGCAACAAGGCCTTACCAACACCCAAATTTCCTCTACAAAGGTGCAATTCTAGCCATTCCAGCAAGAAATCCTGAACGTTCATTGTCACTGTCTAAAGTCTGTGCCTGAACTGCAAAGAATATGTTCTCAGTTACGTATCGGGTATCTGCTGAGGAGACTGGGCCTCAGCCTGGCCAGAGATGGCCTTGGCAATATCGGTGGACTATGAATTCACTCGTATTCCTGGGTGAATGAGCTCATGAGCTAGGGAAAGGAAGCCCTGTTCCTTTCCCTTGCCCCTTCCACCTGCCAGACCAGTGCAGAAGCCAGGAGGTTGGCTGGGAACCGGTTTCCTTCCTCTTGCACACCATCCCCTCTCAGCCCCACACCGGCAGTAGCCAAGCATGTGGCCTAGGGCTGGTTGGTCTTGTCTTTAATCCCAGCTCTCAGTTGCAAAGGCAGGTGGATCTCTAATGAGTTCAAGGCCATCCTGGTCTACATACAACGTTCTAGGCCAGTCAGAGCTACATAGTAAGACCCTGCCAAACAAATACATGGCAAAAAACAAAACAATGCCAGGGAAACAATGCAGCTACCATGGTCTAAAAAGCCAAAGTGGGGAAGAAGGAGGAGGAGGAAGCCTAGGAGGGAGATAGATGCTGATTTTCTCCTACAGATATTTTGGGGTTCCAAGGTCTAGGAGTGGAAGGCTCAGACTCCATGGATGCAAGAGCTATGGGATAGAATATTGATAGGCCCCTGCTCTGAGCAGCCCCAAGCACCCCCAACACTGACAAACTCTCACCCTCCATAACCTGACTTGCTGTATAGACAGAGAATGAGGAATAACTTTGTCTCCTTTAGTTTCTTCCTCTACCCCCACCCCCCCAAAAAAAAAGATAAGAGAAAATCCAAGCTACAGGGAGAGAGGGAAGGACATGGAAATGGCCTTCCTAAACGAGGGGTCACGTAAGGCCACATGCAGACCTGGAAGGATCTATAGAGTAGAAGGGTCTTTGGCAGTACCCACTGCCTCAAGCCAGATGGAGAGGGAATGAGCAAGAAGAGACCTTGAATTCACTTTTACTAGCTCCAACACACACTCAACCCTGTCCTCTCTAAGAAGGACAGCCTCCTGGAAGCATCTCCCAGCCGAGTGCCTGGATCCACTCACACCACTTCCTCCCAACTTTCCCAACAGGCAAGGGGTGACCACAGTGGCATGTACTGCCTTTTTTTTATGAATGAATACAAAGGAAGACACAGAGGCACTGTCTCGGGAAGGACAGGTTTTCGGTTTTCCAGAGCTTAGGGAAAGCCACATTTGCTCACATTCACACAAAGAGGAGGAAGAAGGGAAATGAGGGGGAAATGCCTAAATAGTGGCGAGGAAAACACACACACACACACACACACACAAAGGTTTGTTAGCCTCTCATTACAAGTTGGTTGGGCACAATGTAAACACACTTCTGCCTTGCTTAATCACAGAGTACCGGCCCGTTTAGGTTTCAAAGGCGGCGGTAAATTGGGCGTAGCTGAGTGGAGGCTAAAAATTAACCAGCCATCTCTGTTTCAATTTGTACGAAAACAAAAGTGGAAAGAAATTATGAAAAGAAAAAGAAAAATGGGGCTGGGGGGTAGGCAGGCAAGGCCAGAGCACTAAACTAGCTTGGGCCAGACACAGGGCAATGCTAGAAGAGCACAGGCAATTAGGAAACACTTAGGGCACAAAAAGGGAGAGCTTTTTACAGGTTTCATCTAAGACTTCTTCTATAGCAGGCTGTTTCCTGGCAGGCCTGCTCCCCACAAAGCCCCCCTGCTCCAGAGGGGCCCAGGGCCACTGGTACCACTGTGTGCATCCATCCCAGAGCAGGGAGCTTAAGGAACCTCACTGTGTTCTTTCCCTAACAAACAAATCCAGAACAGCAGCTCCTACCCCAGAACCATCCATCCCACTGCTGCTGCTGCTGCTGCTGCTGCTGCGCCTCTTCCACCTCTTCCGGGGTCCCAAACGCCAGATTCCACATTTCCCTCTCTCCTGGACTTGCTGACAGCCACCTCCCCCAAACCCAGCCTTTCCTGGGAAGAAGTGAAGCTACACCAGCCTGCACCTTCTCCCAGCCCCTAGCGCTTCCGTCTCATTTTCTGTATCAGCTGTGGTTAGTGTGGATGTTATCATCTTCATCTCCAACTCTTACCATCGTGGGTAATTATGAGACATCGTGGCCCTGTCCTAAAACTGACAGCATCTTCACTTTAGGAGAGACGAGATGCACAAATTGGGTGTCATAGCAAGAGAGAAAGAGCAAAGGGGTGGGGGCAGAGAGGAAGAGGATGGAAAAGTGAGAGGGGCGCCACATACGAAGGCCAGGAGGACAAGCTGCCAGTGAGGCCCAGAGCAGTACTATTCAGAAACAGGAAGAACAATAAACAGAACAAACGCCAGCAAGTGAAATAAAACTGGGGAGGGGGTGTTGAAAACAACCTACCCGGAGTGTGGACAAAGTAAGCCAGATAAAGGTCCAGTTCTTTAATTGTGACTCCAATGTGATGTGGCTGGACGCACAGGCCGGGGTTCGAGCACTGGGGCGACTTGTAGAGCCGCTCCCCATCAGTACTTTCCAAGGGGATCCCCTTAAACAAAATCACCATGACCAGGTCCAGCCGCCACACCTTGTCAGCCTGGCGCAGGCAGTCAATCCGCCGGATCTTGCCCTTCTGGTCGGGGTTGGAGAGCACGCAGCAGGGGGGCTTCTTGCCGGTGATGGTCAGCACAAAGTCCTCTCGGAACTCGGGCCGGATGTCTTTGCGCAGCTTGGCCAGCAGCCGGGATGCCCACTTCTGCTTGATCTCAGGCTTCTCGCCGAGCAGCTCGTCCTTCACCGCGCGCTCCTCGTCCTTTGACATCCGCTTCTCGTGCTTCTTGAAGTACTTGCGCTTCCGCGCCTGTAGGTTGAACCAGGTGTAGGAGAAGGCTCGGACGTGAGGCAGCAGCGCCTCGATGAACGGGTGGAACTCATCCTGCAGGCGGCAAGCCGGGAGCATGCGGGGCGAGGGAGGACGGGAGGAGGGGAAGACGGGATGAGGGGGAAAGAGAGAAGGAGAAACGCCGCGTTAGAAGGGGGCACTAGGAAAACCGCCTTCTCCTCCTTCTCCCTCCCCCCAGCAATTTTCTCTTGAGATTGTTCTACTGAAGTGTGGTTTGAAGCCACCACCAGTTTCGCAAGCCACTTGCTCCCATCTCAGACTCAGGAACCAAACAGAGGCACGGGAGCCTGTCCACACACCTATTCTCTCTCTCTCTCTCTCTCTCTCTCTCTCTCTCTCCCCCCCCCCCCCCTACACACACACACACACACACACATGCACACAATGTTGCTGCACACAATGTTGCTACACACACCACGGGCTTGCTGGTTACCCCCCCCCAAGTTCTGTCGCACCCATGACATCTCCATGTTCTAGGGCAGCTGTGAACTAGGGTCAGCTGGTCCCAGCACAGTGTCCGGCTGCCTGAGGGTGCAGAAGGAAGGGCAAGCAAGAGCTGCCTTGCTGCCTTCTGTCCTCCTGTCCGGACTGGCCAATGTTTGGCTGCCCCCCTGAGAAGACAGAAAATGCCATTTGAGATGAAGGAAGAGGCTTTGGGTCCCCCTCACCAGGCTGCTTGCATTTTCTTTCCTTCAGATCCAGTTGGAACATCCACCCCAGCATTTTTTAAAATCAGATCTAAATCCTAAATATGTGGTTTCAGCTTTGTTATCGGCACCGATACTAACGTTAATCACAGTAATAATGAACAAAACACTTCTTGTTAGCCCAAATAAGGTGCTTTTCTCAGCCACATTAGGGTTAAAAGCTACATGGGTCGTCTTGCGGCCCCTTCCCCAATCTCCCACAACCCCTTCACCCTCAATCAGGTGGCAGAGGGCTGGGCTCTCTCAGTTTTTTTTCCTTTTGTTTTGTTTTTGTTTTTGTTTTTTTTTTTTGCTTGTTTGCTTGTTTGAAGTTTAAATAATAATTGATTTCTTTTTACAAAAATAAAGCTGGAAAAAATCAAATAATTACCATTGATGTGAAGCACCCGGCAAAGCCAACGCCTGATTCTGAGATTCTGGACTCAACAGAGTTATGAGTTGGGGCGGTGGGACTAGGGGAGGAGGAGGAGCAGGGGAGGAAGGTAAATGTTTTAAAGGGGGTTATTATTGGTGTTCTGGGGAATAGGGGCCGGGCTTGGGTGGATTCTCAAACCCTTCCCCCTCCACCCCCCACGCTCCATTGCACAGAGGGGGAAATTAATTTTTTTAAGGAGTAAAAAGAAAGAAAGGTCAGGGATGGTGAGCAGAGAGGGAGCGAGGTGGCTTCTTACACACACCAGGTAAACAAAAGCCAACAAATTGTTTCAATTTCTTCCCCTGTGCATCCTCTTGCATTTTAAAATAAAAGAGCAAAAAATATGCAAAATTAAAGATCAAAACCAACCTCCTACCACCACCACCCCACGTTCACCCACGACAACGTACCCTACCCCACCCCCACCCCCGAAAAACAAAAACAAAAACCAGGAGGGAAAAAGCAGCAGCTGAAGAAAAGGCTTTCGGCTTTGGCAGCGGCACAAGGGTGTAAACTTCGAGCTGCTCCCTCCACCCGACCAGAGGAAGAGGGGGAGCTCGCAGATTCTCGGGAAGAGGACGAGTTCTGACCGGCTGCAGACCGTTGCTGGCAGACGCAGCAAAAGGGAGAGAGGGAGCCAGGGAGGGAGGGAAGGAAGAGGGGGAGGGAGAGAGCGTGGATCTCAGGAAGACGGGGATGGGATGGGGTGTGCGACGGTGCGCATGTGAGCGCGCGAGCGCGCGCGCGCGGGAGAGGAGAGGGTGTGTGTGCACCAGCACCGCTAGGGTGGGGGGTTGTGGCTTCTTTTTTCTCCCAAACTCCCCCCTCCCCGTTCATGCTCAATCCCCATCCATTTGTGTGTGCCAAGTCAGTAAAAGAGGGGGAGGGAGACAGCCAGAGGAAAGGAGAGAGAAAGAGCGAGGGAGAGAGGGAGAGAGAGGGAGGGAGGGGGGGAAAGAGAGAGAGAGAGAGAGAGAGAGAGAGAGAGAGAGAGGAGAGAGAGGAGAGAGATGGGGAGAGGGAGGAGAGAGAGAGAGAGAGAGAGAGCCCGAAAGAGATTGGGGGGGGGGGAATCCACCTATTTGGCAAAGAGGCATCCTCGTGCAGCCAATGGCAGAGTCCAAGGGGAGGAGGGAGCTGGGCTAGCTGAGAGGGTGGGGAGAGCCCCCCCCCCCCCCCCCCCCCGCAGTTGGAGACCAAAAACAATTTGCCCAATCGACAAGTTCACGTCTAATGAACAAGCAAAAGCAAAGTCCAGCAGTTATGAATTTTTCATCCCAGGCGCCCACTTGGGTCTGTTTGGCAGCAGCCACCCAGCAAACTTGGGGGGTGGGAACACTAGGATTGAGGAAGACGCGGACTTTTTTTTAAGCCAGAAAATAAATAAATAAAGGCCTGACTCCTGGCGGGCTGGCGGCTGGGCGGGAGCCCCAGAAGGCCTTGGGGAAGCAGCTGCGCCTTCTCTGGGTTCTGCTTTCAGTCTTTCTCTCAGGCCAGCACACTCTCTGGTTCTAGATTTTTTTTTAGGTTTTTTTTTTTAATGGAGCACAGTGGGGCGAGTGGACATTTTCTCCTCCACTTTGTGCACCAGCCTACAGAACTCTGAATAGAAGAAAGAGCTCAGCTCGGAAAGTGTCCGTGCCAACAGCACAGCACAGAATGTTGGCTGGGTGTTGCCACCTCTTGGTCCCTCAGACTCTGCAGCCTGTAGGACTCAGGAGCACTCCCAAACAAGGGGACGTGGAACCCTGCACCTCCTTGCCTTCCCCTCAACCCCCAGTAAGCTCACAGCCTCCCTCGGCCCACACCCAGCCACGCACACTCCATTAGTGGTGATGGGAGATGCCAACGCAATGCAGCTCGGCTCGTGAAGCTGCAAGTTTATTAAAATAGCCTCCTGTCACAGCGCTCCTCTGGCAAGCACCACACGCAGCTACAAACACAACAGCCAGCCCCTGGGAGAAGTGACAGAGGCAGAAAGACCGGCACTACTTCCCCTCGGCACCCCCACCTCCCACCCTCTGCAATTCCTCCCTCCTCCACATCTGCCCTGGCTACTCACGCCGCCCCCGGGGTAGCTTTCTTACCTGTCCCTCATATCAGACTAAAATGCAAGGTGCAAAAGCATATAAACCCGAGAAGCCAGGATAGAGAGAAGACTTGAGAAAAGATATGGCAAAACAGAAGGCAAGAGCCTTCGGGAACCAGAGGCATGAGAGGTGATGCCAAAGTCCTTTCTCCAGGTCCCCAACTAGGCACTTCCTGGTGGGGGGGCACCTCCAGGAGGACTCTCCAGTAAGCGCTCTGGGCAGCTGTGTTAGGCCTCTGGGAAAGCAAAAGGAAGTCAGGAAATGAAAGGGAGAGCCAAGGTAGGATATCAACAGACTGCCAGACTGCCGAGTGACCAGTGCTCAGTCCCCACAGCCACCCTCTCTGTAGGCTCAACCCTAAGTTGGCAAAGGGAAAAAGGTCACTGCTCACTCATGCCCCTTTCCTCAGCAGCTGAAACCCTGTGCTCTGTGGCCTTCTGTTCAATGGCAAAGAGGCTCCTGGAAGAACGCCTGGACTGTGCCAAAACAAAAGACCCCCACACACACAATGGGAGGTACCATCCAGCACCTGGGACCCCAAACCCTAAATGGCCAACTCCAGCATAGTGAGTTCACAGCTGACCCGAGAGACGCAGTTAGAGAGAACAGTGCAGGAGGCAGGTGCCATCACAGACAGGCCTCTTAGGGTGGTGTTCAATAATTCACGTCCTGTGAATAACAGGCTTTGGTCCAACCAGTCAAGGATGCTAGCTTAGCGCCTAGTGACATAAGGGACCGAATGAACACTGCCTTCTCCACCTTGAGGAACCAATTTCAGTTTCTAAAGTCAAGATGAGGTCATAAATGCTGCAAGTGAGTTTGTATTTGGCGGTCCAAAGGGTGGTGGGGATGTTGCTGCTATTCTGATTATGATTTAAATATTAAAAAGAAAATGGCCAATATTGTTCCGTGGCAAATCCTGGTCTGTTCCTTTTCAGGACTACAGTGTGGTGGAACAACCCAGTTGAAAGTCTGGGTTGGGTGGCGACAGTTCCATGGCTAGTAGAAAATCCACAGATGTTAGGGACAGTGTGAGAGCCAGTCTCTGCAGAACTGAGGAAGGAAAGAGTCAAAGGTCCCTGGGTGGTGAGCTGATGAGAGTGACAGCACCAAGGAACGTCTGCAGGAAGCCCCAGAGACTGGCAGGACAGCAACAGGCCCTTCCTCGTGAATCTGGAAGGGAGAACAATTGCCAACTGTCTTTCTCCTAGCTGGGGGCTATAACCTTGAAGGTAAGCAGAAGGTCATTGGGCAGCATCTCCAGCCTGCTGTGACTTTGCCAGCAGAACACGCTGGCTTCCGGTAAGCAGGCCATCCCAGTAGAAAAAACGGCTCTTTTTTCTCCGTGTGGGGTGTGTGTGTGTGTGTGTGTGTGTGTGTGTGTGTGTGTCTGTGGGCATGCCCCTAGACCCCCAAACAAAAGAGATCCTTCCCCTTTTCCCTAGGAAACAATCTAGGCACCCTTTGGAAGATTACCTGTCCCTGTCCCAACTCCTTCCTTTCCCGTCCCACCCTCCGTCTGGAGGTCACACTCCTGCACCCTGATGCGCCAAACTCAAGCCAAGACTGGAAAATTATGGATGATTTAAGATGCTTCCAGGTCTGATTTCAAGTAGAAACGATGGTTCAAGGGTTGGAAGAGCAAATGTGGGAACCTACAGATTGCTGGGGAAGAGAAGAAAGGAAGAAAGAAAGAAATCAACCAAAGGGAAAGGAAGCAGGAATGCTTAGAGCAACAGGGGAAGAATAGAGGGAAGGGGGAATTTGGAAAGTACTTTCTCCATTTGCAAGAGAAGTCAAGACACCAGAGATTACACTTTCGAAATCAACATGGATTTTTGGTTTTTGGAAGAGAAAATTTTAAGTTCATGAAAGAAAGGTCTCTCTTACTTTTGAGAAGATAAAACTTGGTGAAAACACAGGAGTTTCTATTGAGATGGGGCTCTGATGCCCGTCCAGCCACCACGGAGAGAGATGTGTCGCCCCCACCCCACCCCAAAGATTAAGCAGGCCACAGAAACAGAAATTCAAGCAGAGGAAAAGCAAGAGAGGCAGAGGGCAAACCCAGAGCACAGAGCTGGCTGGAAGCTGCAGGACAGTCCGAGACAAAGAGAAAGAATGAAAGAACGAATCAGCAAGAAAATAGAGAAGGGCCCCAAGACAAGAGGAAAAGAGAAAGAAAACTGAGAAAAATGGTGGCTTCCAGGGGTGGAAACCATGAGGCTCTCAGAGCAGTCCTGTGAGCTGAGGCCTTGTGGGTTATTTGAGGAAAATAGAGAACACACCCAGTCCTTTACTTACATGTACAATATTAAAAATCCTTCCAGGAAACAAAACAATTTCCCCAAACTGATACAGATTTTGTAGCTGGCCTTTGCCTCCCAGTAGTGAAGCTAATAAGCACAAGAGGCCTTATTTCAAACACCCAGCCATGGGTGGGTCTCTTTACCTTTAAAAACAAAATCTTATTTGTCCCCAAACTGCTGGCTTCTGGGCCTAGAATATTCTCTTAGACCCTGGGCACCATGGCCCACACTTGTTAAGCACTCACAGTTTAAGCCCATGACTGTGCTCTAAGGAGAAAGCATCAGATAGTCCAGGGTCCATTTTCCTACTGCATATCTGCAGAGTAGGTAAGGAAAGGCGTAGGAAATTAGAAAGGCCAGAAATAGAGACCCAGCGAGTTTGCCTAATTCCTGGCATTTATACTTCTGCCTGGGTCTGGGCTGAAAGGGGACAGCTTCATACATAACCACAACCACTACCACCACACACACACACACACACACACACACACACACACCTCTCATCTTGTCAGATCTGTGCTCCTCCCTTAGAAGGCTAGGAGAGGCCGTGGGCAGACACTGTGGACCTCAGGCCGCAGCAAAGGAAGAGACCTGGCTGCTTGTCCTAGGGGTGGGTGGGACCTCCCTCTCTGGGGGAGGCAGAAAGAGGCTCTGCTGCTCAGTGAAACTATCCAAGAGTCTGGAAACCTAGGAATGGAAACCGGAAAATGCACTTTCCGAGGAGGCTCCCGATAATTTGGACAAAGCGGGTTTTGGCTGATTTGGGCCTCCGTTCAGGAACAGCAGCCACCACCGCCGGGTTTGTGTGAAAAATCGTCCTTGGGCAAGACGATGGATTTGCCCACACCAGAGCTGGGTCTCTCCTGGGGTCTGTCTCAGAACCAGGCCACATAATACTCCTGTAAAATGCCCCTGGGCGCCCCCACACACTGCCTTTTCTCCTCCTTGCTACAAATCGGGAGCTGTGGCCTGGGACCGGGCCAACAAGCAGCCTCGTTCCTGGCTGG